TGTGGGTGTGGGTGTGGATGTGGGTGCGGGTGTGGGTGTGGGTGTGGGTGGGTGGGTGTGGGTGGGTGTGGGTGGGTGCGGGTGGGTGTGGGTGGGTGTGGGTGGGTGTGGGTGGGTGTGGGTGGGTGTGGGTGGGTGTGGGTGCTCGCATTGCCTTTTTTCCATAGGCTTTGCGGTACAGTGACACTGTGTGCAGCTGCTGCAACCCTGCAACAAACTGATTTAATACACTTGGAACCAGGCTTTCTCCGCCAAGCGACCTCCCTCCTGCACAAACAACCAAGGACGAGTTCAATTCTTCCTGAGAGCATTCTGATCTTTCAGGCTCCTCTGTTGCAAGGATACTGTCGCAAGCCATTTTTCGTGAATCTGCCCGTGCCTTCGAAGCAGCTCACGATTCTCTGGATTGTCCAAGCATCAAAACTTGCACGGCACACTCTCGACCTTCACAAGCAAGTCGTTCTCAGCTTCCGAAAGACCTCAGATGCAATGAAACTGTCAGACCCTCCGAACACCAACAAGCAACAAGCACAGCCGAATGCGCACCATTGCACTGTCTACATGTTGCTGAGGTGGTGACGAGATCGGTCTGGTGCCTTACCCCATACCACACCAACATTAATAATTTGAATTTCGTATGGCTTTGGAACAACTGGGCAGAATGTGGTCACGAGCCGGGGCCGCTACAGCTTCGACTGAATCATCAGTTCCGCCCGCAACCTGCCGTCAATCAGATCAGCAGTCCTGTTCTGCCTGTTGCCAAAAGTGCCGCACACTCGCCAGAATATTGTCGTATTGCCTGTCATCGAGAAGCATAATGGAGTAGTGTCATTCTCTCCCTGTCTCCTGCTGTCTCTGCTGACGCTCCGTCCCGGCGACTTGACTGACAGACCGACTCATCGACTGTTAGATTCTGTTAGATGATACGTGTCACTCATGGAGCCGGGCCAGTGGGCGCCATCTGGCAACATTTGCACGCGGCTTCAATGGTACGATCATGCTCCCGTAGGCTACGGGCTGGTCAACTCAACAAACGGCTCCGAACTTGCAACTTCTGAGTGCAGCACCCTCCCGTAGGAGAAACACGCCAACACTAATGTCGAAGACGTACAGCAGTGTAAAGCGCCTTGAACCTTCACCTGCCTGCAAGGCCGGCCTACCATCAAGCGTGCATGAACTTCAGGCTGACGTGGGCTGCGTTGGTCAAGCAATAAATCCCCACCCTACCGCGCAAGTGCTGACGGTCGAAATCGGGGTTCTCGGCTTAGCCCGAAGCCAACCAGAAATAATGGCATACCGATACCACATATCATGACAACCTATGCACAGCGAAGACTGTAGATTCCTGTTACGTTTGTCGAGGCTCGTACAGGGAGGTGATCAGTCTCTCTTTTTGGTGGATGGCTTCGTCGGCACATGGACCTGTTCCCCCGCCTAAATGTTTTTTTGGGCGGCCCTATGCAACTCTCACTCAGCGTTCCTCCTAATGTACAGTCTGTGAGTAAATTGAAAAGGAGTTGGCTGTGAGGAGTGTCTTGCACGTTGGCAGCCTCACTAGGGTACTCCAAAAGTGGCGGTCTACAGCTAGTCTGTGAGCCTCCGCCTAAATGTTGGCATTGGCAAAGAAAGACCGGCTAGTGACTAGTGAAGACCCTTAGAAACAGGGTTTGCACACAAAAACACACCCACACACCCACTTGCACCCTCACCCGCACCCGCGCCCTCACCCTCACCCACACCCACACCCACACCCTCACCCACACCCTCAGCCTCAGCCTCACCCTCACACTCACACTCACACAATCACTGGCTCGCTCGTTCGCTCGGAGCTTTCTCAGTCACCCAAGCAATCGAACAATCACCACTGTTTCTCCAGCAACACACACACACACACATGGCAACAATGTGTAAGACTGCACAGCCGGCATAGTACCACTTCCACCAAGGGCCACACTTCTTCTTTCCGATCTCCATTTCCAATCGCGTCTTCCTGTATGTCGTCCTCAGAGTTCAACCCGTCGCATTCTGAACACACAATGTACGTCATCATGTCAATATGCAACATCTGTTTGCTTCGTGTGCGGCTCGTCTTGCTGTACGGAGATGGCCTGACCAAACTCGACAAGTCGTTCCCTTGCATCCCTCGCTGGTATGACCGGCTGTTGCAAGCTGCGTAGCGTGTGCCGAGCAGCTTCGGCAAGCTGAACGCAAAGCAAATGTAAACGAAAGGCCCACCACATCCCAAAGTCAAAAGTGGACGCAACACCATTCCAAGCAACTCCAATCCCAAATTCAAATCACAAAATGAGACAGAATCCGTTTATATGTTGTTTGTACAGAGATGCATACAAAAACCAAAGTACTAGCCTTCTCCTGCGTCTTACTTGCAACCCCTGGGATGCGCCCAATCAAGACGAATGCAGCCTTCTCTACTACACCATGGCCACAAGCCTCCAGCATGTGTGCCGCAACGACACTGGGGTTCACCTGCTGGCATCTGCGGGATATGAGTGGCCACTGCCAAAAACAATCGGGTTTGCAGGTATTGGGGCCCGACGGCAGTCACTGGAGGTGCTCCTGCCAGTTGTTCGTCAGCCATGTCATTTCCTGTTCCTACACTATGCTTCCGCTTTTCCTTTGCGCTCAAAGAAACTAACCCACGAGACGTGCGAGATGTCACCTCACGAAACATTCAAGGGAATCCAAGGCGAACCCACATCTGCAGCATGCACGTTGTAGAGCATAGCAATCACATGCAATAACACAACACCCGTCCTCCTGTATCGTCACCAACTAACCGGCGCTGGACTTCCGCAGCCACTTCTGCAGCGTGTTCTTCTTCAATGATGCTTCTTCGTCGCGTGGCTTGCTTGTCTATGGTGTCTTGCCTTGGTCCACGAAACATAGGCGCAAGTGAATGGCAGACGTCCGCTTGATGCGGCGTCAATCCAAGCTCTCGTCCGGTTTGGAAGCAGAACAGCATACTGCGGACCAAACAAGCATCCCATCTCAAGCGAAACAAAGTGAAAGAAAGACAAAGAAGAGTTCGCTAAAAACCACGCATCATGGTCAGAGTCCTTACTTACACGGGATGGCAGCATCTCGTGGACTGGGGTATCCACGCCGGTGGCGCGAGACATACAACGTAAAGCTAGCATAGCCCACTGGATCCAACAACCAAGTCCACCAACCGGTTGCGGATCGAACAAACGCGTTTCAGCAGTGCTCGGGAGGTAGAGGTGAGGAATGCGTGTTTCGAACATGTGCATACAGCCGCGGGCATCTGAGACCACTAAGCCTACGTCTACGGTATTAGAGTGAACCATGGATGTCACTGCAATGTGCCGCCGCCCGTGCGCCAGTTCGGTCATTTGGTGACGTTCTGCGAGGCTAGCAGCATCGAGCGACCCTTCGCCAGTGACAAGCGCGCTCGAGTCGCATCTTCCTGCTGTCGCAGGCCGGGCCGCACGCAGCACGGGCCTTCGCGGTTTTCCCAACCTCCACGGCGTCGATGGGACCGTCGCCGTTTTTCGTGTCTTGCTGCTGCGCCGGCTCCGCCTGCCGCTGCCTGTCGCTCCACGATCGTGCGCCTGCCTTGACCACAGGGCGGCATGTGCGACTTCTTGTGTACTTGCATCTCGAACCCTGGCTCTCGAGCGGTCGCCTGCACTCACCGAGCGGCCATGGCGTTTCCCTAAAAACGCTGACAAGGAATGGGAAGGGAAGCCTCCTGGACCGCGAAGGGGTGGTGGGCACGTGGACGGACAGAAGACTGGGTGTGGAATAATTTGCATGGAAGCTGCATCTCGATGGACACTGTCTCGATGGTGGCTGGTGTCAGATACGCAAAGCGCGTCTCGAACGCGCGCTAATCACAGGCATGAGCAGCGAAGCAAGTCGGCTAGACCCGGTGTGGCCTCGCCGATTAGGAAGGCAGCTGCCTGAATAGCGCAAGCAGCGAAGGCATGCAGCCAGGGGCCCGAATGGATTCCAGTACGCGGTCAACGACGCTGGGGGCTTGAAGGCGGATGACAAGCAGAGTGTCCATCCATGTCCACAATGACGGCCGCGGCTCGCGGCCCACAAGCCGAGTCCGCCAAAGCGTAGGGCGAGATGACTGGGTGGGGAGACAAAAAAGAACAGCCAGCAAACAAGATATATTGAATATATTGTTCCCACAAGCCTTTCTCCGGCCGCCAGAGGTCTCGAAGCACCTACCATCACCTCCTGTGTCGTACAGGGGCGCTCCCGACAGAGCTTCAGCGCGGCCCCGGAGCTGCCAGAGCATGCATGTCTGCGACACGCAAAGGCTCGCATGGCAGCTTGTGTCTGAGGCACGTTGCCCGGCGAGCATGCGGGAACAAGTGGGCAGCCCCGGCACCAAAATGCACCAAACCAACCCCCAGGCAACGACGAGCGCGCACGAGCTCGGGGTAGGTCTGGTTGTGCTTGCGTCGAGCTGTTCCTTCAGCAGCTTGACCGCGTGCACGTCTGCACTGCTGGGCAGCTCCTGGATGCATGACGGGGCGGGCGAGGGGGGCTTCCACAGCTTGCTGCGAACCATGCCACATGGAGAGCGCGTTCGCGACGACTGCGATTTGGCAGTCATCGGAGACCGGCACATCGATGTTCATGTCCTGCACGTATCGCCTGGTTGTGTTTTTGTCTTCCCCGCAAAAACACTGACACGCACGCCGTCTTGCAACAGCACGAGGAATACCTGCGCTTACTGCCCTCCGCGGGTCAAGGAAGGAGCCTCCGCTGCTGGGCGGTTTGATTGCACGATATTGCACGTCACCGTGCGGGCGTACGTCCTGAAACAACCGTCTTGCGGTCAGTAGCTTAGGGCGTGCTGCCACTGGGTGCCAGCACAACACATGGAGGCTTCTGAGCGAGCTCCTAAAGACATTTACACTCAGCAAACATAAGTGTGACAAAGTCTCGCGTTGGAGACATATCGGTTATCACTCCGAAAAGCAAAATACTGCAGTGACTGGTCTGCAGCACGTCGCTGAGATTGGGGAGAGGGCATTCGACGTTGCCGTGGACAACACCGAAGACCGAAGCTGCAAAGGACCTGGCGGCTGCAAAGGCAAGAATACCGTAGCATCGCTGCACCCGGAGAGGTGTGACAGTCTTCGGCAACGGGAAAGGAGTCGGACGAACTGGATGGCTTCTGCGCTCCAGCGTCCTGCGACCGATGGCAAGCACGACAAGGCGGCATCGCGGGGTGATCTAAAGAGTTAGATAGGCACGCTTTTTTTTTCCTCACGGACTTTTCCGCCTGCAGGAAGGTGTCACAACTACGCCGGTCTTACTACTTCGCCAGCGCGCGGTCCCGGTTTAGGGCCGCAGAGGCAAGCGGCTAG